CGGGCGCGGTGGCTCAAGCCTGTAATCCCAGCACTTTGGGAGGCCGAGACGGGCGGATCACGAGGTCAGGAGATCGAGACCAGCCTGGCTAACACGGTGAAACACCGTCTCTACTAAAAAATACAAAAAACTAGCCGGGCGAGGTGGCGGGCGCCTGTAGTCCCAACTACTCGGGAGGCTGAGGCAGGAGAATGGCATAAACCCGGGAGGCGGAGCTTGCAGTGAGCTGAGATCCGGCCACTGCACTCCAGCCTGGGCGATAGAGCAAGACTCCGTCTCAAAAAAAAAAAAAAAAACAACAACAACAACAAAAAAAACCCATGATTTTTACATTAACACAAACCCAGATTTATTCTGAAGTAGTATGCACAAATGAACATGTTTCAAAACAAGAAGTCAAAAGAGTTTTCTGTTATGGGCAGCTGCTTTGGGATTTACCGCAAACCATAGAAATAGGCATCAGCCCTCCTGTACTCTTCAGGGATATCTGCCCAAAGTTTGAGAATTCCCAGGCAAAGAATAGGGCTTTGTTCTCGAAGGCCCTGCAGCAGTGGTGTGCTGGAGCTGGTTCACCCAAGCCATTCAGCCCCATGCCAAGTGACGTCAGTTCAGTAGCTTACAGCCTGCTGTGGTGGGAGTGTGTATTAGTCCGTTCTCACACTGCTAATAAAGAAATCCCTGAGACTGGTAATTTATAAAGAAAAGTTTAGGCCGGGCGCGGTGGCTCAAGCCTGTAATCCCAGCACTTTGGGAGACCGAGACGGGCGGATCACGAGGTCTGGAGATCGAAACCATCCTGGCTAACACGGTGAAACCCCGTCTCTACTAAAAAATACATAAAACTAGCCGGGCAAGGTGGCAGGCACCTGTAGTCCCAGCTACTCGGGAGGCTGAGGCAGGAGAATGGCATAAACCCGGGAGGCGGAGCTTGCAGTGAGCTGAGATCCGGCCACTGCACTCCAGCCTGGGCGACAGAGCGAGACTCCGTCTCAACAAAAAAAAAAGAAAAGAAAAGTGTAATTGGCCCACGGTTCTGCAAGTTGTACAGGAAGCAGCAGCTTCCAGGGAGGCGTCAGGAAACTTTTACTCATGGCAGAAGGCAAAGTGGGAGGAGGTGTCTTACATGGTGGGAGCAGGAGAAAGAGGCGGGGGTTGCGACACACTTCTAAACAACTAGATCTCGTGAGAACTGACTCATGAGACCAGCACCAAAGGGACGGTGCTCAACCATTGACGAAGGATCCACCCCCATAATCCAGTCACCTCCCACCAGGCCCCACCTCCAACACTGGGGATTACAATTGAGCATGAGATTTGGGTGGGGACACAGAGCCAAATGGTATCAGAGGATTTACTCCGTGGAAGTTAGTAAACACTATAAATCACCCCTGCAGCAAGCTGCTTGTTAAACATTCCCCAGCACACCACTGTCATAGGGTCTAACACAGCCCAGAATTCAGGTGTCCAGGATTCAGGGCAGGCCCCTTGGTCCCCATCTCTGTACGAAGGAAGCCTCGCTCAGAAAAGTCAGAATCAAAAGCCAGTCTGCTCAGTTCGTCACCGAGCCCTCGCTCCTCAGTCTTAACATGATATGCTCAAATTTCCCCCAACTCCTGTGTCCACTCTACTATGACAGAAACGTGGGGATGTTTTCAGTAAGCATTTCACCACACTGACGCCTCCTGTACCCTGCCAGGGTGGATAGTGGACTTCTGCCCCGTGTGAGGAGTGCAGTGTGTGCAGCTTGTGGATAGGGCCTCAAATCCAGGCTCCATCAGCTAAAGCTCTGTGACAACAGACGGGTCATCATCCCTCATCCCTGCGATGGAAAATAGGAACCCTGGGTGGTTGGTTTGCCATTAAAGGTTAAAGGAGATGGTGTAATGCATATAAAGGATCCAGCACAGCTTTTATTCTCATCGTTGTTAACTGCAGAGGTGATGTCGCTGCCCAGGCATGGGGTACATTCAACACACACACCTGAGCACGTGCATAGAGCACGTGGGCAAAGGACGGTCAATGTGACATTTTACCAAACTCACCTCCCACAGAACTGGCCCCACCTGGCACTTGTAACCTCAACAGCAATGATGGTAAATACAGTTTACCTTAATGGAGCATTGACTGATATGATCTCATCTCATCCTCCAACAGCCCTTTGTCCTCCCTTTGCAGATGTAAAGGGGGGAGATAAAGACCCATCAAGGTTCAGTAACTTGCTCAGGATCACACAGCTACACACATGAGAACATTGGTCAACTCATTGTCCAGTGAAGGACAAGAGGTGAAGCCAGAAGGCAGATGTGCTCACAATGGAACGTGTTTCCCCTGTGAAGAAGTGGCACCTGATACATGCGAAGGATAGCCCTACCCCGGTTTAGTGGGTGAGGAAAGGCTCCTTGAAAAAGTGCTGGTAAAGAAAGTTAATATTACAGAGCCGTTCAGTCATTCAGTTAGCAAACACTTAAGCCCTTTCCATGTGCTGGATGCTGGTCTAAGGCACTTGGAATAGAGACACCCGTCCTCGGGACGGTTGACGGTAAGCACTAGACATAATAAGCAAATTGTGCCGTGAGTTACACCATGATAAGAGCTACTGAAAAAAGAAATATCTGAACCAGCTGTGAAGGGTAGGTGGGGGCAGCTTGCGTTATTAAATAGAATGGTTAGTGAGGCTTGCTGAGAAGGTGAGGTTTGAGCAGACTGAAGGAAGTGAGGTGGGGCTGTGGCAGCCCCTTCAGGGACTAGCAGGGAAGCACCGGCATGGGGATGGGGGTGTGGGACCCGAATGTGATTCTTGATTCTTACAACTCCCTCCAGAAGTAGGTTCTGAATTGTCCCCAGTTGAGAGGTGAGGAACCTGCAGCACGGAGAGGTCCAGTGGCTTGCCCAGGGTAACACAGCTGATAGGAACACTTGCCACGCTCAGGTGATCTGACCCCAGAGTGATGTGTTTACCACCACTGGTGGCCGCCTGGCCCTTCCCTCTGGCTAAAACAAGGCAAGACCCTGAGCTTCCTCAGCATGAGGGAGCTCTGGATGCACGTGCGTGCGCACACGCGTGCGTGCAAGAGGGAGGCAGGCAGGGCTGGTGTTTCTGGAATCCTTTCTGCCTCTTGGAGTGGCCTCACAGGCCAACTTCAGTGATCACGAGCCTACCTCTTCATCTCACCGTAGCCCTGTGATTCCCCTGAATTACCGATGTTTTCAGCACCTGGTCACTGACAAAGCCAAAGAAGCCCATTTATTGGGCATGAGGACTGGAAGGAAATGGTGGAAGGGTCACTGTGTTCATTTCCTCTTGCTGCTGTGACAAATTACCACAAACTTAATGGCTTCAAGCTACACTCATGTATTCTCTTAACAGTTCTGAAAGGCAGAGCTATGAAGCCGTGTCAGCAGGTGTTCCTTCGTCTTCAAGGCCAGCAGCATAGCTTCCATCTTGCAATTTCTTTTTCTCTCTGACTCTCATCCTTCTGCCTCCCTTTTATAAAGAGGACCCTTGTAATTATGTTGAGCCCACTTGGGCAATCCAAGATTATGCTATTGAAAATGATCTATTTAGCCTTTAACCTCTTCCCTGGCATACAACTCCTGAAATCTTAGAATTTCCAAAGTGATGTCTGTGAACCCAAAATATCGGAGACAAGTCTTAGTCAATTTAGAAAGTTTATTTTGCCAAGGCTAAGGACACACCTGTGACACAGCCTCAGGAGGTCCTGACACATGCCCAAGGTGGTCGGGGCACAGCTAGGTTCTATACGGTTTTGGGAGACATGAGACATCAGCCAGTATATGTGAGATGTACATTGGTTTGGTCCGGAAAGGTGGAACAACTCAAAGGGAGGGAGGGGCCTTCCAGGTCATAGGTAGATAAGAGACAAACAGTTGCATTCCTTGAGTCTCTGATTAGCCTTTCACTGAATACACAGTTTACATGTGAGAGGAGGGGAGAGGAGTAGTCACGTATGCCTTAGTCTGGCTTAGTGAAATAGGGCAGAGGAAGCAATCAGATACGTGTTTGTCTCATGAATTCTGTGTGTCCTTTGTCCATAAAGGATTTCCTTGTGGGCAAACTGTGAGGGAGGTATGTGGTTAGTAATAAAATGGGAGGCAGGTTTGCCTGAAGCAGTTCCCATCTTGACTTCCCTTTGGCTTAGTGATTTTGGGGTCCAGAGTTTTTGTTGTTTTTGAGACAGAGTCACCCAGGCTCTGTCACCCAGGCTGCAGTGCAGTGGCGTGATCTTGGCTCACTGCAACCTTTGCCTCCCAGGTTCAAGCGATTCTCCTACCTCAGGCTCCCAAGTAGCTGAGATTATAGGCATGTGCTAATTTTTGTACTTTTAGTGGAGACGGGGTTTCCCCATTTTGGCCAAGGTGGTCTTGAACTACTGACCTCAAGTGATCTGCCCACCTCAGCCTCCCGAAGTGCTGGGATTACAGGCGTGAGCCACCATGCCCTTTTCTTTTACATGTCTTTTGTATGCTAATGAGATGGCTGGTGGCTGGTAGCCCCTGGGTAGCTTCAGGATGGGGTTGGTCACCAGAAAGACTGAGGCAGGACTAGATGGTTGGGACTTTCAGCTCCACCCTCCAACCTCCGGGGAGGGGAGAAAGACTGAAGGTTAAGTCGATCACCAAGGGCCAGTAATTTAATCTTGCCTGTGTCATGAAGCCACCATAAATACTCAGAAGGACAGGGTTTGAAGAGCTTCTGGATAGCTGAACACGTGGAGGTTCTTGGAGGGTTCCCAAGGAAGGCATGGAAGCTCCACACCACCTCACACATACCTTGTATTTCTACACGTTTCTCCCTCTGTATTATTCAGAGTAGCCTTCATCATCAACCAGTAAATGTCAGTATTTGCCTGAGTTCTGTGAGCTGCTTTAGCAAATTATTAATTGAATAATTATTAATAATTATTATTATATTTATATATAAATAATCCCCAAAAGGGGATTGTGGGAACCCCAGCTTAAAGCCAGTCAGTCGCATGTTCCTGAAGTCCGGACTTGCATCTGACTGTGGGGCAGTCTTGGGGGCTGAGCCCTCAAGCTCTAGGATCTGATTCTATGCCCAGGAACACAGTGTCAGAATTGAGTTGGAGGACAACCAGCTGGGGGTGTGGGGAAAATTCCTCACACATGTGGTCATGGAAGTCTTCTGTATTGATTGCTGTGGTGTGAGAGCAGAGGAAAAACGGTTTGTGTTTTTTCTATTTTCAGGATAATGTCCCCCGCCCCCAAGATCCTTAACTTCATCACATCTGCAGAGTTCCTTTTGCTATGTAAGGTGCCATATTCATGGGTTCTGAAGATCAGGATGTCCATATCTTTGTGGGGGCCATAACTCTGGTCTGCCACAGTCACTAATGCCCCAGGGCCCTCGTCCCCCGATCCCATTCCCAGGCAGATGAAGTCAGGTATCCCCCTTAGCCTGATGTGGCCGGCGTGGCACACAGTGCTAATTAGAGGCCCCTCCTGGACCATGGCTCACCCACATGGGACCCCACCCCTTCTTGCCCAGTGAGTGTTGCTGGAAAAGAGGGTCCCAATGCAGACCATAAGAGAGGTTTCTTGGATCTTGCGCAGGAGGGAATTCAAGGTGAGTCACAGAGCACGGTGAAAGAAGCAAGTTTATTGGGAACTACTCTGTTACAGAGTAGGGTGTTCTCAGAAAGCAGGAGAAGGAATGGGAAACTGTAAGCAGCTATCATTAAACCCGGAATGTGCAGATGAGCTCACTGAAGGTAGGGGCTATTTGTGCTATCAATGACCATTCATCCTTCAACCGAAGCCTGGTCATTGATGTTATCTCTGAGTAAAGTGGGCTGCACTCTCAGGACACCTGGACATTCTGCAGGCTTGGTGGGAGATGTTCTGTGTGTCCATAAACTTTCTGTAATTATAATAGGTGGTCAGCTCAGGATGTAGCTATTTTCAGACTGTAAGCATGAACCTTATAGCGGGGGCCTTGTGAACGTCTAGCTACTCACTTTAAGACAGAGTCACCCTGGTCATGTTTTATTAAACCAGAGGCCTGGTAACCAGGGATCCCTCTCACAAGAGCTCTAACAAGAGGTGGGGGTTACCTCTTACTGGCTTATGTTTCAGAGTCTGCAGGGCCACCTCCCAGGTTCCAGCATTCTCAAGGGTCTCCCAGGACCCAGCTGGTAGTCATGCTCACACCTTGGGCCAGGGAATGGCCACGACAGAACTGTGTCTCTGGGATGGGGTTTCAGCACACTGAGGATTTGGTTGAGTTAGTCAACAAGTGTTTCTTGAGCACCTGCTCTGTGCTAGGTTGGTTCTCAGCCCTGGGAGGAGAGCGGCGAACAAAACGAAGTCTCCGCTTTCCAGCCCAGATCACTGTGTGTGTGTAGGGAGGCGGGAGGTACTACCCACATAAACAAGCTGTTTTCGGAAAGTGGTAAGTGTTGTGTGGAAAATGGGGCAATACAATACTAGAGCATGGGACAGCACTGCCTCGCAGAAACATAATGTGAGGCATATAATTTTACATTTTCCAGTAGCTACATTGGAAAGGGTAAAAAGCAACACATTTATCATTAGAGTTAATTTTGTTTTGTTTAGCTTTGTTTTTGAAACAGGGTCTCACTCTGCTACCCAGGCTGGACTGCAGTGGCATGATCTTTGCCCACTGCAACCTCTGCCTCCCAGGCTCAAGCAATCCTCCTATCTCAGCCTCCCAAGTCGCTGTATTTTTAGTAGAGACGGGGTTTCACCTTGTTAGCCAGGATGGTCTCAATCTCCTGACCCCGTGATCCACCCACCTCGGCCTCCCAAAGTGCTGGGATTACAGGCCTGAGCACCCGGCCTATCATTGTTCTTTATATGGACTTGCTTTCCCTACTGGAATGTAAGGTGCCTGGGAGCCGGCAGTCTTCCACTGTAACTCACTGCTGTCTCCCCACTACCTGGGACAGCTGGACACCTAGTAGGTGCTCAGTAAATACTTGTCAAATGGATGGCCAGAGGTCTGTACAGTCCTTATTTGCCTCCTGATCAAGAACCTGCTGCAGTCTTAGGCACAAAAAGTGTTGGCCGTGCCCCTCCCTGACCGTGAGAGGGTGAGGGGGACAGAAATGCGCCAGGTGTTCTGACGTCTGTGTGTGCGTCTGGGTGTGTGTGTGTGCATCTGGGTGTGTGTGTGCGCGTCTGGGTGTGTGTGTGTGCGTCTGGGTGTGTGTGTGCGCCTCCAGGTTAGGGGCCTGTGCGCTCTGGCACTGCCCAAAAGACCCAGTTGGCCTCATGACCTGTCTTCTCCCCACAGCCCCGCCTTACCAGCTCTCTGCCCCTCTCTGAGTGTGGACCCTAAAGGGGGAGAAGGGATGCCAGCTGCACGGGGGAAATCCAAATCCAAGGTAAGTGGCAATTCCTGTTTCTTCAGGAACATCCCATCGTGTCCTGTGAGATGTGGACCATTTGCTTTCCTTCCATGGAGACTTGTTGCCTATTGGAGATCCATCCAACACCTAGCCCTTGGTTTTCTTCCATTGCCATGGGGGATGAGAGCCTGAGAAGGGCCCAGCAGCCAGGAAACTGCCCAGTGGGCCTCTCTCCATTCCCCAGTGTGCACATGGCCACTTGCCTGTTGGTTCAACATTTCTAGGGGCTTTGCTAGTGCCGGGAGAAATGTCATCCTCTCTGGAGGAAGATGAGAGCCACTGTGATTTCTCAGCATGCAGATAAATGCCCAGGTGGGGACTGCAGTAGCAGAAGGGATTTGACATGTGCTCTGGAGTTAGTCTTGTTGTGTGGTTTTGTTTCTCCTTGTAAAACCCATATTTACATGGAGGAAATCTCTCCAGCTAAGGTCCCAAGACTCAGAGGCACCACATAGCCCTGCTATTCCATTGAGTGCATTGGCGCAGGCACTGAGGTGGTATGGGCAGCCTCCTGTGGTCAGCATGCTCCACCGCTGTCAATCATCAAGTGATTTTTACAACAGGCATCTCAAATGCAGTTTCCCATAACAAGCGTGTTTGCTTTCACTTACGTGTATTAGTTCCCCCTTGCTGCTTTAACAGATTAGCTGCAAACTTGGCAGCTCAAAACAACACGTGTTTATTATCATGCAGTTTTGTGGTTGGCGTCCAGGCACAACGTGGTTTAGCTGGGTCATCTGCTTTGGAGTTCACAGGGCTGAAATCAAGGTGTCGGTCGGCTGTGTTCTCATTTGGGGCTGAGGTCCTCTTCCAAGCTTGCTGGTTATTGGCCAGATTCAGTTCCTTCTCACACTTTCCACCTGACCCTCATTTTTCATCTTCAAGACAGCAAGAACCAATAACCAACTGGCCAGGTCAAGTCTGAGATAATCCGCCAAGGTCAAGTGGTCAGTAACCTTGATTGTACCCTCAAAGAACCTTTTGTCATGTGTAACATATTCACAGGTTTCTTGGAGAGCATGTGGTTAGGAGATTAAATCGGGAGCTACACTATCTGGACTGAACCCTAGCTTCTCCATTTACTAGCTGTGAGACCTGCAGGAAGTTTTCTTCTGTCTCTGGGCCTCCGTTTCCTCATCTGTAACATCCTGTGATTCTGCTGACAGTGCCTCTGTCACTGATTCACATGAGCACTAAGTGAACCAGCACAGTCAGGTGCTTAGAAGAATGCCTTGACTTTGTAAATGCCTGGTTGATCCAGGCTGCCGCGTGTTCTTAATGCAACATAATTTTAATAACAGCTATGTCTTCTATTGTATTTTATTTAATTTATTTAACACACCTGCCCCTTTTGGCCTCAGAACCCTGAATGCTTCCTGAATGATTCTTGGTACCTCGTGTCTCCCATGTTTAAGATGTGTGCACCGTTTCCTCCAGCCACGTGGAAGCACAAGTCCATGGTGAATAGACATTTGATTTTTCATTTCAGGCACCTATAACATTTGGGGACTTAGCCATCTACTTCTCCCAGGAGGAGTGGGAATGGCTGAGCCCCATTCAGAAGGATTTGTATGAAGATGTCATGTTGGAGAATTACCGGAACCTGGTCTCGCTTGGTAAGGCTCTTCTTCCCCAACAATCCAGAACCAGCCTACTGAGGGACATGCATCACTCTGGGTCTGGTCTGGAAAATGGAAACCACTGCAATTTCTGTTTTTAAAGAGCTTTATTGAGATATAATTCACATAGTATACAATTCACCCATAAAAAGTGCACAATTAAATGGTTTTTATAATAGTATATTCAGAGTTATGCATCCATCACCACAATCGATTATATTTTCATTATTCCTACCCCAAAACCCAGTACCCATAAGCAGTCACTCTTCGTCTCCCCCAACCACTCATACCCCCCGGATTGGGCAACTACTAGTCCATTTTCCATCTCTATGGATATGCCTGTTCTGGTCCTTTCATACGTGTGAAATCATAAATACATGGCTTCTTTCATTTACGATGTTTTTGAGGTTCATCACGTTGTAGCATGTGCCAATACCTCATTTCTTTTCATTGTCAAATAATATGTATTGTATGGATAGACCACATTTGTTTATCCAGTCATCAGTTAATTGACGGGCATTTGGGTTGTTTCCACTCTCATTATTTTGATATGCTGCTATGAACATGTACAAGTTTTTTGTGTGGATGTATGGTTTCATTTCTCTGAGGTATAGACTTAGGGGTAGAATTGCTGAGTCATATGGAAACTCTGTAGGTAACTTTTGAGTTCTTTTGATAGACTTTTTTTTTTTTTTTTTGGAGACAGAGTGTTGCTCTATCTCCATCTCCGGGCTGGAGTGCAGTGGCGCGATCTCTGCTCACTGCAACCTCCGCCTCCCAGGTTCAAGCAATTCCCCTGCCTCAGCCTCCCAGGTAGCTGGGATTACAGGTGTGCTCCACCACAGCTGGCTAATTTTTTGTATTTTAGTAGAGACGGGGTTTCACCATGTTGGCCAGGATGGTTTCGATTTCCTGACCTCGTGATCTTCCCACCTCAGCTTCCCAAAATACTGGGATTACAGGTGTGAGCCACTGTGCCCGGCCCTCTTTTGATAGAATTTAAGGAATTGATTTAAGAGGTGTTGTTGAACGGTGAACTGTGGACATTGATGTAACTGCAGGATGCTGCCACCATCCCTGGGGTTGGAGGGACAAAGGGAAGAGTTTAGGGTTTTTAGGGCTTCAAGGAAGGTCTCCTTGGATCTGGGACTCAGACTTCTGAAGGAGGGGGCAGTGTGCTGCCTGATTTGTTTATACTTCTGAGGGGCCAGATGAAACTGGTTCTGGGAATACAGAACTAAAAAAAAAACCAAACATTGAAACCAGCAAAGCCCGTTATTGGTGGATGTTGACAGGAAGCAGCTGGTGAAGCAGAAGTGAAGATAGCAAAGCCCCAGCCCTGGCACACAAAACAGACAATAAAAGGGTGGGGGTCTGGAGCAGAAAGACAGTAAGTTCATAACCAGCCTCAGGAGCTTCTGACCTAATTCTCAGGAAAATAGTTTGCTTTGTAGAATTAAAGTTTAACAACTCTACTGGCTATAATTTAGATTTCTGCCTCCACGTGTGAGATTTAAACAACCAAACTCAACACCGCACACTCTAACACCAGATGTTTGGGGATTTTCCCACACACAACAAACAGTTCTCCAGCAGACTCCAGCTGGGTGTCCTCCAATTTAATTCTGACAGTGTCTACCTGGAGATAGTGTCAGATCCCACAGGGTAAGGGCCCAGTCCCACAAGACTGTCCCCTACTTCAAAGGCCTTCCGACTGACCAACTCTAAATTCGGGGATTCCCATGACCCTCTCCTCAAGTTCAGTCATTTGCTAGAGTAGCTTTCAGAACTCAGGGAGGCGCTTTATTTATGCTTACCAGTTTAGTGTAAAAGATATTACAGAGGATGCAGTTGAACAGCCAGATGCAAGAGATGCAGAGGACAGGTTATAGGGGAGGGGCACAGAGCATGCACCTTCTACTGTACCACCTTCCACGTGGTCAACAACCCTGAGGCTCTCCAAACCCAGTCCACTGGGGGCTTTTAAGGAGGCTTCAGGTAGGCAAGGTTGATTAAATCATTGGCCATTAGTGATCAGCTCAACTTCCAGCCCCTGACCCCTCCCCAGAGGTCAGGAGGTGGGACTGAAAGTTCCAACCCTCTAATCACATGGTTGGCAACCGGCCCCCATCTGAAGGCTGTCCAGGAGCCCCCAACCACAGTCTTCTCATTAGCATACAAAAGGCACATATGCAGGAGATTCCAAGGGTTTAAGGAGCTGTGTGCCAGGAAATAGGGGTGAAAAGCAAATAATGTTTCTTATTAGAAATCACAATTTCACACTCCCCATTCTCCAGCTGCCCTTCACATCCTGCGTGCTCCCTTCATGTTACTACACCTGCATTCCTGTTGATGCAGAACGTGGCTGTGACTTCTGTGGTGCCCATATTTATGATCATTTCCCATGTTTGTGCCATGTACAGGTCTTTCCTTTCGGAGACCAAATGTGATCACCTTATTGGAGAAAGGGAAAGCGCCCTGGATGGTAGAGCCAGTAAGAAGACGCCGGGCTCCTGGTGAGTGACAGAGAACCACGGCATATGTCTCAGTCTACTGGGGCTGCTATAACAGAATGCCATACACTAGGTGACTTACAAACAACAGAAATCTACTTCTCACAGTTCTGGAGGCTGAGAAGTCCAAGATCAATGCCTGAGCAGATTCGGTGTCTGGTGAGGACCACTTCCTGGTTCATAGGTGGCACCTTCTTGCTGTGTCTGCACATGGAGGAAGGAGTGAGGGAGCTCTCTGGGAGAGAGATTATAGGTGATTATAGATGATATTAATCTCATTCATGAGGGTTCCACCTTGGTGATTTAAACACCTCCCAAAGGCCCTACCTCCTAATACCATTACCTTAGATAGTAAGATTTCAGCATATTTTTAGTGTTTGGAGCCTCCAAACACTAAAAAGTGCAAAAAGTGTGGGAAAGCCTTCAGTCAGATGTCATCCCTTTTACTTCATAAAAGAACCTCCCCATACTGTTCTCAGTAGTGGCTGTACTAATTTACATTCCCACAGTGTACGAGGGTTCCCCTTTCTCCATATCCTCACCAGCATTTGTTTTGCCTGCTTTGGGATAAAGGTCATTTTAACTAGGGTGAGATGATACTGTGTAGTTTTGATTTGCATTTTTCTGATGATCAGTGATGTTGAGCACTTTCTCATATGCCTGTTTGCCATGTGTATGTATGTCTTCTTTTTTTTTTTTTTTTTTTTTGAGACGGAGTCTTGCTCTGTCGCCCAGGCTAGAGTGCAGTGGCCGGATCTCAGCTCACTGCAAGCTCCGCCTCCCAGGTTCAGGCCATTCTCCTGCCTCAGCCTCCCGAGTAGCTGGGACTACAGGCGCCAGCCACCTCGCCCGGCTACTTTTTTTGTATTTTTTTTAGTAGAGATGGGGTTTCACCGTGTTAGCCAGGATGGTCTCGATCTCCTGACCTCGTGATCCGCCCGTCTTGGCCTCCCAAAGTGCTGGGATTACAGGCTTGAGCCACCGCGCCCGGCCAATCTTCTTTTGAGAAATGTCTATCAGATCTTTTGCCTATTTTTTAATTGGATTATTGCATTTTTTTCTATAGAGTTGTTTGAGCTCCTTGTGTATTCTATGGTTATCAATCCCTTGTCAGATAGGTAGTTTATATTTTCTCCCATTCTGTAGATTGTCTCTTCACTTTGTTGATTGTTTCCTTTGCTGTGCCCAAGCTTTTTAACTTGATATGATTCTATTAGTCCATCTTTAGTTTCATTGCCTGTGTTTGTGGGGTATTACTCAAGAAATCTTTGCCCAGACCAATGTCCTGGATACTTTTGCCAGTGTTTTGTTTTAGTAGTTTGATTGTTTTAGGTCTTAGATTTGTCTTTAATCCATTTTGATTTGATTTTTGCATATGGCAAGAGATAGGGGTCTAGTGTCTTTTGCATGTGGATATTCAGTTTTTCCAGCACTATTTATTGAAGAGACTGTCCCTTCCCCAATATATATTTATAACATCTTTGTTGAAAATGAATTCACTGTAGATGTATGGATTTATTTCTGGGTTCTCTGTTCTGTTCCATTGGTCTGTGTGTCTGTTTTTATCTCAGTACCATGCTGTTTTGGTTATTATAGCTCTGTAGTATAATTTGAACTTAGGCAATATGATTCCTACAGTTTTATTCTTTTTGCTCAGGATGGCTTTGGCTATTCTGGGTCTTTTGTGGTTCCATATAAAGTTTAGGATTATTTTTTCTATTTCTGTGAGGAATGTCTCTGGTATTTTGATAGGGATTGCATTGAATCCATAGATTAATTTGGGTAGTGTGGGCATTTTACTAATAATTATTCTTCAAATCCATAGCATGGACTATCTTTTTATGTTTTTGTGTCCTTATCAATTTCTTGCATCAAGGTTTTGTAGTTTTCATTGTAGAGTTCTTTCACTGCTTTTGTTAAGTTTATTCCTAGGCATTTTATTTTATTTGTAGCTATTGTAAATGGGATTACTTGATTTCTTTTTCAGATTGTTCACTGTTGGCATATAGAAATGCTGCTGGATTTTTATATGTTGATTTTGTATCCTGCAACTTTACTAAATTTATCAGTTGTAATAGTTTCTAGGGTAGATTTTTTACGATTTCCCAACCAAAAGATCATATCATCTGCAAAGAAGAATAATTTGACGTCTTCTTTTCCAACTTGGATGCCTTTTATTTCTTTCTCTTCTCTGAGTGCTCTGGCTAGGACTTCCAGTGCTATGTTGAATGTAGAATAATAGTTGTGAAAGTGGGCATTCTTTTTATGTTCCTGATCTTACAGGAAAGGCTTTCAGGGTTTTTTCCCATTCAGTATGATACTAGCCATGGGTCTGTCATATACAGCTTTTATTGTGTTGAGGAATGTTCCTTTATACCCAGTTTTTTGAGGGATCATGTCATGAAGGGATGTTAAATTTTATCAAATGCTTTTCAACATCAACTGAAGTGATCATATGTTTTTTGTCCTTCATTCTGTTTATATATATCATTGATTTGCATATGTCAAAGCATCCATGCATTCCTGGGATGAAATGCTCTTGTTCATGATGAATGATCTCTTTAATGTGTTGAATTCAGTTTGCTAGTATTTTGTTGAGGATTCTTGAGTTAATATTAATGAAAGATATTGGTCTGTAGCTCTTTTTTTGATGTGTCCTTGGTTTTGGTATCAGGGTAATACTGGCCTTGTAGAATGAGTTTGGAAGTATTCTCTCCTCCTCTATTTTTTGGAATAGTTTGAGTAGGATTGGTATTGGGTTTTTTTTTTTTTTTTTTTTTTTTTTAAGTATTTGGTAAAACTCAGCAGTGAAGCTATCAAGTCCTGGGCTTTTCTTTGCTGGGAAACTTTATTACAGCTTCAATCTTATTGTTTGTTATTTCTCTGTTCAGGTTTTGGATGTCTTCATGATTCAGTCTTGGTAGGTTGTATGTGTCTAGGAATGTATCTATTTATTCTAGGTTTTCTAATATATTGGCCTAGGTTGCTCATAGTAGTCTCTAATGATCCTTTGAGTATCAGCTGTAATCATTCCTTTTGCATCTCTGGTCTTATGTCTTTTTTTCTTAATCTGATTAAAGCTTTGTCAATTCTGTTTATCTTTTTGAAGAAATTTCATTTTGTTGATCTTTTGTGGGTTTTATTGTTGTTGTTATTGTTGTTGTTGTTTTGAGACAGAGTCTCACTCTGTCACCCAGGCTGGAGTGCACTGGCATGATCTCGGCTCACTGCAACCTCCACTACCTGTGTTCATGCAATTCTCCTGCCTCAGCCTACCAAGTAGCTGGGATTACAGGCGTCTGCCACCACACCCAGCTAATTTTTGTATTTTTAGTAGAGACGGGGTTTCACCATGTTGGTAAGGCTGGTCTTGAACTCCTGACCTCAGGTGATCTGCCCACCTTGGCCTCCTAAAGTGCTGGGATTACAGGTGTAAGCGACCATGCCCGGCCTCTTTTGTGGTTTTTAAATTTCATTTCTTTCTGCTCTGATCCTTACTATTTCTTTTTTTCTGCTAACTTGCGATTTGGTTTGCTCTTGCGTTTCTAGTTCATTAAGATGCATCATTAGGTTATCTGAAGTTTTTCTACATTTTTGGTGTATGTGTTTATTGTTACAGACTCTCTTCATACTGCTTTTACTGTATCCCATAGGTTACAGCATGTTTTCGTATGTTGTGTTTTCATTATCATTTGTTTCAGGGAATTTTTAAATTTTAATTAAGAAATTTCTTCAGGCCGGGGGTGGTGGCTCATGCCTATAATCCCAGCACTTTGGGAGGCAGAAGTGGGCAGATCACCCAAGGTTGGGAGTTCGAGACCAGCCTGGCCACCATGGTGAAACGCTGTCTCTCCTAAAAATACAAAAAAGCTATCTGGGCATGGTGGTGGATGCCTGTAATCCCAGCTACTCAGGAGGCTGAGGCAGGAGAATTGCTTGAACCCGGGAGGTGGAGGTTGCAGTGAGCCGAGATTGCGCCATTGCACTCTAGCCTGGGCAAGAACAGCGAAACTCCGTCTCAAAAAAAAAAAGAAATTTCTTCATTGATCCACTGGTCATTCAGTATTATATTTTTAAATTTCAATGTGTTTGTAACTTTCCAAAGTTCTTCTCATTATTGATTTCTAGTTTTGTTCTATTGTGATCAGAGAAGATACTTGATATGATTTCAATTTGAAAGACTTTTTTTTTTTTTTTTGAGACAGGGTCTTGCTCTGTCACCCAGGCTGAAGTACAGTGGTGTGATCACGACTTACTGCAGCCTCAACCTTCTAGGCTCAAGCAATACTCCCATCTTGGCCTACTGAGTAGCTGGGACTACAGCATGTGCCACCATGCCTGGCTAATTTTTGTGTTTTTTTTTTAAGATGGGATTTCATCATGGTGCCCAGGCATTGAGCTCAAGCAATCCACCTGCCTCAGCCTCCCAAAGTGCTGGGATTACAAGTGTGAGCCAATGCACCCAGTTTTTTTTGGATTTTTAAGACTTGTCTTGTGTCCTAATATTTCATAGTCTATACTTGAGAATGATCCATGTGCTGAGGAGAATGTGTAACCTGTAGTCATTGGATGAAATTGTCTAAATATCTACTAGGTCCATTAGGTCTGATGTTTCTTTGTTGATTTTCTGTCTGGATGATTTGTGCAATGCTGAAAACGAAGTGGTTAAGTCTCCAACAATTATTGTATTGTGGTCTGTCTTTCTCTTAGCTCCGAATATGTTTGCTTTATATATCTGGGTGCTCCATTGTTGGGTGTGTATATATTTATAACTGTTATATCCTTTTGCTGAATTGATCCTTTTAGCATTATATAACTTTCTTTGTATCTTTCCATACTTTTTGTCTTAAGCTCTATTTTATCTAAGTATAGCTGCTCCTGATCTATTTTGGTTTTCATTTGCATGGGATATTTTTTTCCCTCCCTTTATTTTTAGTCTATGTGTGTCCTTATAGGGAACGCATGTTTCTTGTGGGGAACAGTTCATTGGGTCTTTTTGAAAA